TACCTCACAGGACAGGTCTAATTGAACTAGAAAAAGGTTGGAGAGATGTGATGCAGAGAGTCATTTTATGCAAGTTCCATCCTGAACATAAGTTTCTTTTCCCCATGAGAGATTGACAGGGGTTTGTCTTCTTAAAAGTAAATCTGCGTTGTAAATCTGGTATTGAAAAGGCCCATAGTAACAGTAATGCATAAGATATAGCGAATTAGGGGATAGAGGCAGTTTCAGTACTTCAGTTGTGAAGTGACAGCTAGGGCCGTGGTTTTGATCGAATGAAACCAAATATCGGTCATCACAGTTTAATAAATGTAATACATGATGATACTTGTCTTAGTTGTGTGTAGTGGAGGCTGCCTTATGAAACTTATTCCTTGTAGGTCTAAATAAAGTAAATAACTGGCTTAAAAATAGGATGGAAATGGGGCAGGGGATTTAGCTCAGTGGTGCTGCCACCTGCTTCGCAGGCACAAGGTGCCAAGTTCAATCTCCGGTACCAGAAAAAAGGTGGAAAGGAAGTAAACAGGTCTTAAAGACAGAATCAGCAGATTTAGAAGTCAAGTTGGGTTGGCAAAGACAGGGGAATGGAAAAGACAGTAACAATGAAAATGTTAATCACTTTTAAATATGTAACCAAAATGAAATGTGAAGATGCGGATGTGGATATCCATCGGATATGGATGATGTGTCTTGCTTTAATATGTTTTTCTCTAATAATTTAAACATCTATATCCTATTAGAGACATTTCCTAAGGAAAATTCTAGGATAGCTTCTCTCTGACATGGTAGAAATCATCTACACTGAAAATCTCTGATGATGTCAGGTTGATGAATTCCCTAAACCCAAGCAACCTGCAGGAAATACTTCTATAAGTGCTCTTGATGTGCATATGATCTGGAATTTCCTCTGTTTGAGTAGATATGATCATCTTTCTAATATGCTGACCAAGATATTAGATGAGCGTCCTGAAAATGCTATTGACTTCATTGAAACTATCAGCCAAGATGTGAAAATGGCACATTTTAGTAAAAAATTAGATACACTCCAAAATGAGAATGAGATGCTTCCAACGTATGAAATGGCAGAGAGGCAAAAGGCTCTTTTTCTCCAGGGACATTTGGAAGGAGCTGACCAAGAACTGGAGGATGAAATAGTAAGTCATCACTGTAAATATTAATGGTTAAATTCTGGGGTGGGGGTCTGGGAAGATGAGGGTGTATGGCTTTAAATTCATAGCAAGTGGTTTTTATGGCTCTCTAAATAGTATTTGTATCTTAATTTCCTTAAATATTTTCAAGCCTCCAATTAACTCACTCACTGTGTACCACTTACTTCCTCGTTAATTAGTTTTTCACATTGTGTGGTTTGTTATTGTTGTTGTTATTTTGATACAGGGTCTTGCTATGTAGCCTGGAACTCATGATCTTCCTGCTTTAGTCTCCCAAATGCTGGGATTACAAGCATGTACCACTAGGCCTAGCTCACATGGAGTTGCAACATTTTATAGGCCTTAGTTTTTGTTAGAAGTTTGTGTGTGGTAACTTTCTTGGTAACAGAAAAGATGGTTTCTTTGTATTTTATATTCTCCAAGTTGTCTGGTACAGATTTAGGTATATGGCTGCTTCTTATTAAATATTTGTGAATAGTGAATGTCAGATATAGTTAAATTTCTATCACCTACTGACTCTGAAGCTGTGGTGAGGTTGTAGTGCAATGCATTCTCCACGTGTCTGCGGTGAGGCTGATAGAAGCAAACCTACGGCACTGCGGTTACACTGAAGCTGTATGTTACGGCTTGTGTCTAGACGTCCCCCCAAAACCTCATGCAGTCATGGGGGGAAGGGGCTTTTAGGGGTGGCTGGATCTAGAGTGTGTGGTGCTGGGATCAAGGCTGTGTGATTACTAAACCAGTCCACTGATTGGTGTGGCACAGCTCTGGCTAGGATTAAGGGTGTGAGTGCTACACCTGCCCTAGGGTGGGCAGACTGCCTAAAATATAAAGGACAGAAAAAGTGCTAATGTGATCCTGCCTGCCTGTTTGCTGTGGACTGCTTCTCCTCTGCAGTGCCCCTCTGCCATGCCACCCTGCCTTGGAGCTACTATGGACTGAAACCTCAGAAAACTGTGAATCAAACCAAAGAAACCGTTCCTCCTTTAACTTTGGGTGTTGGGTATTCTGTCTCAGCAATGAGAAAAGTAAGACGGTGTATTAAAGCTGGACTGCAGTTATATGAAAGCATAGCACATACACTTATGTACACTGTGCACTAGGTGCATAGTAGGCTATACCATCTATCATGTTTGCACAACGTAATTGTTTAATGAGACATTTCTCAGAATGTATCCATCATTAAGTGTTACATAATGGTAATTAAAAATTGAATTTTTGAATCAACTTCCACATTTCCCTTAAATCTACCAGGAAATTTAGAAGTACTTCTAATGTCATTTGCAGTCTCTTCCAAGGTAAGCTCCTTCTATTATGTCTTAATATTATGCATATTATGTTCACGAGACATAAGGTAAGGAAGAGGAATAAAATGCTTTTTAATCTTCATAGACAAAAAGATTAAAATATTAATGAGAGAGTTGGTGATGGTGGGGGAGCTATATTATACAGAAAATCTGGTGTATCACAAAAATTTTGGCTTCAGTCAGGTATGATGGCACATTCCTTTTTCTTTTTTTTTCTTTTTTGGTACTGGGGATCGAACTCGGGTCCTTGTGCTTGCAAGGCGGGCAGTGGAACCACTGAGCTAAATCCCCAGCCCTAATGGCACATTCCTGTAATCCCAGCTAGTCTGGAGCCTGAGACAGGAGGATTGCAAGTTTTAGGTCAGCATGCACAACTCAGCAAGACTCTGACTCAAGCTTAAATTGTATAAAGTGGTAGGGATGTAGCTCAGTGGTAAAGCACTTTCTTTTTTTTTTTGTATTAAATTTTTTTATTGGTACATTGTAGGTATACAACACAATTACATTTCTCATTGGGAATTGTACCTTTATATAATGCATCTTGGTTCTTATTTTTTCCCCATTAGCACTTTCTTGACATGCAGGAGACTCTGATTTCAACCCCCATTACTACAAAAAGAAGTTTATATAAGTTACAAATCTGATATTAGTAATCTATTTTCAAAAAAAAAAAGAGACTCACTCTGTCAGGGGAAAGGTTAGGACCTAGACAGTAGGCACAAGCCTAGGGCTCAGCAACTCATGACAATGAGGTCCACAGTACAGAATGAACAGATGACTGGGTTCAGGAGTCAACACCAGGCTGCTTCAACAAGGTGGCATTTGGTTGAGTTGCCTTGCACAGTTATGAGGTCTCAGGAGCACAACACATGAGGCAGACAGAAGATTTCCTCTGGAGACATTAATCAAAGCAAGGTCAGAATGGGCACCATGGTATGGAAAAGCATAGTGTCATAGGGATCCCCAGCCTAAAACCAGCATATTGGACGAAGATAGAAATAACCTGTTTTGACCTGGAGTCTAAGCCCCTGTCTTAGTTATTTCCTCATTGCTGAGACAAAATACTGGCACCCACAAGTTAAAGGAGGAAATTCTTATTTTACTTTAAGTTTGTAGAGGTTTCAGTCCATAGTCAGCTGACCCCAAGGCAGGGCAGCATGACAGAGGGGTATTGTAGGGGAGAAACAGTTTGTATCCATCAGTACTTACTAGAGAAACAGATACAACACAAGATATACAAATATATATGAATTGACAAGATTGGCTCACAGTGGCCACACACAGAGTCAGATGAGGAAGAGTGCACAGGATCTGTCTTCACACTGGAGACCGAAGGAGTTAGTTGAAGGTCTGGAGCTCACTGCAGTGTCTCATGCAAGTCTGTATCAGGAGGCCAATGGAAGCCTGAAAAGTCTACACCTGGAAGGCTTAAGGATCCGAAGAATGAAGGAGCTGAAGAATCCTCTCTAGAAGGCAGGAGATGATGTCCAAGGGGAAGACTGGAGCTCTTCTCAAGGAACAGAAGCAGCAGCACCCTTCCTCATTTCCCCTTTATACTCTCCAGGCAACCAAGCCACCCTAGGGTGGATCCTCCACACCTTAGGGCATGGAATTGCTGAGCCAATTTAGCTAAGCTTCTCTTAACCAAACTTCAAGTAGACACTATCAATCAACCGTCACCCAGTTCATGGCTGGGTAGGCAGAAAGCAGCAAGCGGCAAGCCTCCCTTTCTCTTTTATCTCATTCAGGCTAAAAGCCTACTGGATGGTGCCAACCACACTTAGGGTGGGCTTTCCCATTACTCACACCCAGAACTATGGTAAATCAACCAGTGGAGTAATTCAGTTTTCACATGCCCTTAATCCATATTCACACATCCATGATCCAGCCACCTCCCAAAGCCCCATTTGTGAGTGTATGAGGTTTTGGGGAGACATCTAGACACAAGCCATGGCAGCCTCTTACAGAGTCAATAAATCATCCTGATGAAAAGGGTAGAATTGGTTTTAGAACCAGGGAAAGCTGAGTCATCAGGTGAAGATGAAAAGCTCCACCTTAAAGCAGGAACAGGAAGAGCTGGCTTCCCAGGGAATGAGACATCAGCTATGTGACAATGCTGTTCCTGACTTCTTTGTGTACTGCACTCATGTTTTTAGTCGTGGTTAGACTTCAGCGTTCATTCATTCATTCATTGGCAAATGCTATGACTATCTACTGCATTCTAGGTATGGGGATGTATGTGTGAAAAGACTACTTTTTGGTACCAGGGATCGAAGTTGGGACCTTGTGCTTGTGAGGCAGGCGATGGCACCACTGAGCTAAATCCCTAGCCCTGAAAAGACTTTTCTGACTTTAAGTTGCTTGCAATCTAGTAAGAGAGACAATGAAAATAAAGCTATTTGATTAGTACAATAAAGAGATGGCCTCATATGATGGGAAAAACCTGGGCTTTGGAGTTAGAGCTGAGTTAGAATTCTGGGTCAGTCACTCACTAATTGTGTGACTTGGAGTAAGTGACTTAACTTTCTGTGCTTCAGGGACAGTCACATGGAAATACTCTGAGAAGCATGGATAGTCTATATGTAGGGAATCACTTCTGATAGATTCAAAGCCCAGGGCACCTGAGAACCCTTAAGGACATGACCCCGCCATCTAGCACATGTGCACAATGGGACACACCTATGTAAGCATGACTTAGGATAGACTACATGCGTTACATGCTTATGTGAGGACATAATGATGTAAGGCTGTGCAGTGGCCCACATAAGGGCCAAGGAATAAAGATGTTTGTTTCTGGTCTTGTTGCTGATGTTAGCTCTGTGCACTTTCTTTACCCTGGAGACCTCACCCACAAGCCCTTCAGCCCCCCCAACCCAGACAAGTGGCCTAGTTGGCAGGATGAGGTGAGTGTCCCCTTGGTGCCTATGGGGCCAGTGCCTGATGGCAAGGGAGGACCCCAGGAAAATGCGGACATTTCCCGGCCTCACTTTGGTTACCTGTAGCCAGCTTTTTGGCAGCATGGAAAGCCCCCAAAGACTGGGAAGCAGTTCAACTGACACCCAAGGTCATATTGAATCCCTCCACCCCATGAGTTGACAGGACAGATGGCTTGGCTGGTTTTCATTCTTTTCTACCATATGGGACAAGAGGCAGAAGATCTCCTCCAGTGAGAGGGACAAAGAGAGGGGAATCTGGAGCAATGACTGGCCACTGCAAAAGCCGTGTTGGAGGAGCACCACCTCCTCCCAAAGCAAAGTCCCCATCACCAGGAAAGTCCCCTGGCACTGCACACAAGGCCTGCTATTTGACAAGAGGTAAGGGTGGAGGAGCCCCTAACCCGAGGAGGGGGACAGGGGACCACCCATGTCTACCTGTCACACAACAAATACAACCTACACAGCCATGGAGCTATGAGAGGTGGCAAAACAACTGAATCAAAAGGTGGGTGAAACAGTGTCCATGAGGCTATGTTGTGGGACGAAGTGGCTGCTAACAATGTCAACCCCACGAGAGATGTTCCAACTAGCTAGCATAGCCAACACCCACTCTGTGCAATGGGTTTTGCAGGATGTGCAGCGGACAGCCCCAAGAGCAGGTAATGAGATTTTGATAAAACTGGTTGATAGCAGCAGCCCACCTGGTTTGGGCAAATTCAGGCGACCTGCCAGAGCAAGTCACAAAATGGACAATCTACTTAGACTTAGTAGCTGTGCTGTGGGAAATGGGCATGTGACAAATGATGTTTGCTATGTGGTATCATAGCCCTGATGAAGAACTGCTTGCAGCGTGCACGAAAGACTTGATCCTGGCTATTGACCTGCTGGCTGCCAGTATGGTATTCTAGGCCAGGGGGTAAGATGATCCCAGCCACAATCCTATCGCAGGGTGAGCATATGGCCTGCATCCTCCTAGAAAGGCGGGATCTCCCTATAATGGTTTCTCTTTTTGTCCTGTCCTTCTGGTCAGGATAAGACATGCCAACAGCATCATCTCTTGGGCACACGTTTGCCCATGTACACCAACAATCACATTGTTGGGTGTGCACTGAACCCTGGACCAATGCAGATGAAGGCCTCCTGTGGAGGATCACACCAGTGTCCCTGCTCAGTTGGACTGACTGGTAGCAACAAAACCAGATGGGCTCTACCTGGGATCAACACCACCAGACTGCTAAAGCACTGATCCAGAAGAGCATGACCACCTGACAAGAACTGGAACCTGTTATATATAATGGTTTGGGGTGGATGACAGTAAATCAAGTAATGTTGCTGGGTGGCCACAAGCTGTGTTGTGCCAACAATAGTGTTAGTAATATTATTTTGTTCTCTTTATTGTTGTGGTGATGTTTGTACACAAGGATCAGCCCTATGAGCCACTCATAAGAAGCAATATTCCCCCAACCTTTGAAGGGGTGGGATGTAGGGAATCACTTCTGATGGATTCAAGGCCCAGGGCACCTGAGGACCCTTAAGGACATGACCCCGCCATCTAGCACATATGAACAACGGGACACACATAGCATGAGCTAGCATAGACTATCACACATGCATTATGGGCTTATGTAAGGACTGATGATGTTAAGGCTCTTTAGTGGCCTACATAAAGGGCCAAGGAATAAAGATGCTTGCTTCTGGTCTTGTTGCCGATGTCAGCTCCAGGGGCTTTCTTTACCCTGGGGATCTCACCTGTGAAAATCCCTTCAGGCCCCCAACTCTGACACCACATAAAAGCCTGGGTACACACTAGGGCTTTGGCCTAGGAGTTACAGTGCTTTGACAGCTGGCTAGACCTCCACACAGAATGGAGCACCTACTTCTGCTATTAGCAACTGGGTAGGACTTTGTAGCAGAAGTGATATTTCATCTGGATCACAAAGGATACAGGGTTCACCAGGTGAAGACTGTAAAAAATAAAATTTTAGGAAAAATGAAAAGTAAAAAATCAGGAAAGATCCAAATTCCAAGCAGCCACATATGATACGAGGTGGTGTGGGAGGATTCTTCCCAAACTAAGCACTGTTTGCTGAGGTGCAGAGGAAGCTTTGAGGACACTACCACCTACAGCTCAATTAGGAAAAGAAAAAAACCAATGAAAGAAGCTCAGAACAAGTTCTAGGGGGGTGAGTAGGACCAACAATGAGTTTTACAATTCAATATCAAGAGCCAGCATGGTAGAGCACATGTGAAATCCCAGCACTCAGGAGGCTGAGGCAGGAGGATCACCACAAGTTCAAGGCCAGCCTGGGCTACATAGTGAATTCAAGGCCAGCCTGAACTACATAGTGAGGCCCTGTCTTAAAATAATATATACGAAAGAGGTGAGGATTGGAAAAGGCATTATATTTATCGTGATACTACAATATAAATGAGAGCAGATCATTTGTAAGAATAGCAAATGCTCTCAATTTCTCTATCCTGATCTCAGGTTCTATCCTACATTTCCACATTCTAAAAATTTTTTTCTTCAGACAGCTTGTTCATTTTCCTGTTTTTCTTTTACAGGACTATTTATATTGTTCTTCATTATCTTAAATCCCAAATTATTTATTCTAAGTAGGGACACACATCTGACTACATTGTCTTCACATTAAATTGAACACAACTTTATTACATTTTCCTTTTATTTATACTGTTACCATATATATGTACATACGATATGTTGATTTTTATTTGCCCTAAACACATATAACCATGTGTTTCAAAAGTATTTTTAAGTGGCAATATAAACATATTTACACTCATATTTTCTCTAAATATTTGTGAACATAAGTTATACTACATCTTATTTTAGCATAGTAAGAGTTACTTAAATCTTTTTATGAAACAGAATGTATTTTCATTGCCAATAAGTTATTAAATTCTTTCTTCCTAAAATATAGATATAAAACAGGGTAACAATCATATTAAGGAGTACAAAATACAATAAGTATAAGAAGCTACATTTACAAATAATGTGAGTAGAACTGAAATTTGAGAATTATTATAGCTTAAGTTAAATCTTCAAAGAAATGTTGAAAAGGTGGAGAAACTAGAGCTAATATCAAGAAAACAGGCATTTTCATTTACCAATAAAATTGTAACCATAACATTTGTTTTCACAGGCAGAAAGCTCTCTTCCAAATGTAGTGGAGTCTGCTTTTTATTTTGAACAAGCAGGAGTTGGTCTAGGCACTGATGAGACTTACCGCATATTTCTTGCCCTCAAACAACTTACTGACACCCACCCAGTCCAAAGATGCCGCTTCTGGGGCAAGATCTTGGGTCTGGAAATGAATTATATTGTAGCTGAAGTAGAATTTCGTGAGGGGGAAGACGAAGAGGTGGAAGAGGAGGATGCCACTGAAGCTGAAGAGAGGGACAATGGTGAAAGTGAGGTTGACAAAGATGAGGAAGATGAGTTACCGAAGTCCTTTTACAAGCCTCCACAGGCAATACCAAAAGAAGAAAGTAGGACAGGTGCCAACAAATACGTCTATTTTGTTTGCAACGAACCAGGAAGACCATGGGTGAAGTTACCATCAGTCTCACCTGCACAAATTGTTACTGCAAGAAACATCAAGAAATTTTTTACTGGGCGATTAGATGCTCCCATCATAAGTTACCCACCTTTTCCAGGAAATGAGAGCAATTACTTACGAGCACAAATTGCCCGAATTTCAGCAGGGACCCATGTCAGTCCTCTAGGATTCTACCAGTTTGGTGAAGAAGAAGGAGAGGAAGAGGAAGAGGTGGAAAGTGGACGAGATAGCTTTGAGGAAAACCCTGATTTTGAAGGCATCCAAGTGCTTGATCTAGTGGAATCTTTATCCAATTGGGTTCATCATGTACAGCACATTCTTCCCCAGGTAGGAGAATATTGTCAGGTCCTGCACAGACTTAATTTGTGTATGTTCTAAAATTACTCTGCTTTTATATATCAGAGATGGATGCATTATTTTGGAAAGTTCTTTAATTCTAACTCTTTT